AAGGTACTGCAACAACAAAGAAACAAAGCGCAATGCGAGATGCAACAATCAGAAAAAAGACTATTGCAACAAAAAGAATACTTGTTGCAACATGAAAACAAAGAACTGCAACAACATAAACAAAACGCAATGTGAGATGCAACATCAGAAAAAAAAACTAATGCAACAAAAAAAATACTTGTTGCAACAGCAAAACAACGCTAATGCAACAGAACCTGCCGGAACCCTAGTCACCGCGTTGTCCCTCAGATCTAGATCCAGAGGAGGAAGAGGAGTAGAAGGAGAGCTCAGATCCAGAGGTGGAGGTGGAGGAGGAGGGCTTAGATCCAGAGAAAGACCCACCTACCTTGCCGGAAGCCGCCGCCATCGCCCTCCTCTCCGGTGGCATGGAGGTCGAAGAGAAAAGGAGGGAGGGGAGAGGGAGAGAGAGGCGGCTCGCCTGAAGCCACCGGCGTCGCCCCCCTCCTCTCTGGTGGCATAGGGGTCGCGGAGGGAGGGAGGGGCGACGGCGCGCGACGCAGCTGCGAGAGAGTGGGGGAGCGGGAGGAGGGGTGGGAGAAGAAGCAGGCGAGGAGACCGAGAGACTGGGGAGCACGGGTCACGGGCGAGCGGATAAGGCAAGGCGGTCGAGCGGTACGGGTCCGTCCAGACGCGATGAACGTCCGCACAATAGCATTCCTGGGAAAAAATCCCAGAGACTTTTTTTTTTCCGAAAGATCAACCATTAGAATTCGAAACGAACTCGGGCGATTCGCGTCGTATAAATATACGGGTTGCGCGATTAACATCACCGGCGCGCGCAAGATCTAGAACGGCCATGGCTATCACAGGGCAGCCTGGTGCGATGGGGAGGGGCAGCAGAACAACAGACACCGCGCGCGAGGTCCAGCGGCTCACGTTCCACAAACGCCACCGCCGGCTCGTGATCGACGAGTACCTGTCCGCTGGAGAGTCCGCGAGGTCCTCTTCGGCAACCGCCGTCGCAAGCTCTACAGCAACAACAGGATCTCACAGTACTCGTACTACAACGAGCTTCGTCAACTTCGACCACCTGACGACATTCGAGACGCTGGCCATGAACCCAGCCAAGAAGAAGAAGATCATGGACGACCTCGACGCGTTCCAGAGCAACAGGGACTTCTCCCGGCACACCGGTAAGCCATGGAAACGGGGGTACCTTGTCTACGGCCTGCCGGGCACGGGCAAGTCCACCATGATCGTGGTCATGGTTTCCAATATCGGCCGAAATCTCCTGATATTTTCGATATATCCTTTTTATCCGTAGGTGCCGATAAGAAAATATCTATCTTTTTTATACAAATTTTATTTAAATTTATTTAAATTTACTTAAATTCAAATTAAAATTTATTTGAATTTGGTCTGATATTTCTGATATATCCTGTTTATTCTCTTTATCTGTGATCCCCGATAAATTTTAATTTCTGAAAATGAAAACCTTGATCGTGGCCATGGCCAACCACCTCAACCACCACATCTAAAAATCGAGCTCACCATCGTGAACAACAACGACGACCTCCGCAAGCTACTCATCCAGACAACCAGCATGTGCGTCATCGTCATCGAGGACATCGACTGCTCCCTGGACCTGACGGGCGACCGGAGGTACAAGAAGAAGAATCGACCGTACCGCAAGGACAACAAGGTGACGCTGTCCGCCCTGCTCAACTTCATCAACGGGCTGTGGTTGGCTTGCAGCGGCGAGCGGATCATCGTCTTCACGACCAACCACGTGGATCGTGGACAGCCTTGAGCCGGCTCTCATCCGCCGGGGCATATGGACATGCACATCGAGGCGTTCAGAACCCTGGCCAAGAACTACCTCGGCATCGACGCGCACCCGCTGTTCGGCGCCGTCGAGGAGCTGATGACGGAGGTGGACATCACGCTGGCCGACGTCGCCGAGTGCCTCATGACAGCCAAGAACGCCGACTCCGAGGAGGATGCCAGTCTTGAGTACCTGATCGAGGAGCTGAAGAGGAAAAGAGAACTAGGGAAGAGGCCAAGGCTTCGGCGGAGTCAAACGCGGCCAAAACGGACAATGATCAAGCCGTAAAAGAAGATGACAAGCAAAATTCAGAAGATTCAGGAGAAGAGGATCAAGAGTCGGAGGATTCAGAAGAATCTAACGAGTAGTCATATACTACAGTACATAGTTACATACGTATACACCCAACACTTTTGACTGAAGTTTTTTTCTTTCTTTCTGTGAGAAGTACTCCCTAGATAGAGATGCAGACTTGCATGCAGTTATCTGAAGATGGTTGCTCAGTGCTGACTGAAGGTGTGTTTACGGAGTTGAACTTTAGATAGTGTCTTTAAACATTTGTTTTTGTTTTTCGAGCAACGCACTTTTGTTTTTATTTCGTTCATCGCCTGTCCAGGTAGCTTGATCGCGATCAACCCAGGCTGGTTACAGACTCCGGGAGGGGGTCGAGCCACAACCATGACCAGTGGAGGTGCCCGTGCGATTTCTTCTGTGCTCTGGCCGCCCGTGGAGCCGTGCCATTTTTAGGATAGGTGGAGAGAGAAACCAACAAATAAAGAGAAAAAAAGAAAAAAAATGAAAGGGCATTATAGTCATTTCAACATTTTTATCACCCGTCAAACGTTTTTATAAAGCAGCTTCAGCTCCACGAGTAGAGCTGCTGTACTAACTAAAAAAAATAACTATTCTACCTATAAAGAGGAGTTATATCCAACGGCCCTGAAAAACACAGGAGAGCAGAATAGATGGGAGGACGAGCTATGGAGTGAGACGGGCGAGTGGATAGGGATGGCTAGCTGGCAGACAAAAGAAATCCATGGCTTATGGATTTAGGAGAAATTGTGATGTACTAATATGGGAGGACTCTCGCGTCCGCCGGATGTGAGTAATCAATGACTTGATCGACAGCCGACATAGGTTCCATGATTAGATTTTTTACGCCTAGCGATTAATTTAAAAAGGCACTTTTGGGCTGTCCAACCATGAAACCAGATGATAGATGTAGGTCCTGCTTTAATTGGTCATGCAATTGGTTTGCACTAAGTCGCCGTTTGTTTGTGTGACCTAGCTTTTTGTTATAAAGGGCTCACTAGCACACTAATAGCAATAGTGAACAAGATGGGATCAAGCTAAGTAGCTAATCATGTGTTTGGTTGAGGGGTTGAAATGGGTTGGGGATGGGTTCCACCCATGCAATTGTTATAAAGGGCTCACTAGCACACTAGGGGTTGGGTTCCTTCCCTACAGGGAATATTCTCGTTAAATGCGGGTTGACCCGGTTCGTTCGAATCGAGCGGACAATGTCAACCCACGTTGCACGAGCAAGCAGAGCGCGGCGGTCGAGCGCGAGCTAGCGGGGACGGCGGGGAGCGGGGCGAGTGAGTAGAGCGAGATGGCATGGGCGGAGCACAGGCGGCGCGGGGGCCAAGCGTGGGGTCCGTGAGCGGGTGCACGAGGCTCTTGGCAGGTCTTCCTCGACATCCTCCGCACCGACAGTCCCCTCGGCCTCTTCGCCATCATCCTCGGTTCCACCTTCTCCTTCGCCGTCTACTTTGGCACCTGCAAGCTCGCCAAGTCGCTGCTCCGCCCGCACCTCCCGCTGTTCCGCGTGCCCCCACTCACGGACGCTGCGCAAGTGGAGCGAGCAGGCAATGGCGCGTGGCCGAGCGTGGCGGCACGAGGGTCGAGCGCGGTGGCGCAAGTATGGCCTGAGCGAGGGGAAGAAGATAGAGGGCATAGAGACTGATGCGTAGGGCCCATGTGGCAGGGATCTCAACCCACATCCCATCTATGATAGCGTTTGGTTGGGAGGTAAGTTGGGTGGAATGGTCATTACTTTGGTTTGGGGGACGGGATGACTTCAGTTTGTGTTTCAACATGTTTTCTGTTTGGTTAAAAGGATAAAAGAGGATGAGATAGATGATGTATTTAACACCGTTAGACACGGTTCTATTTGGACCCCACATGTAATCTTTATAGCATCTTTATTTACCTCTTTTATATGAAAATTTGCTGCCAGATCTCACACATAAAAACGGAAAGAAAATCAACCAAATCTCACGGATAACAAAGCTTCCAGCAAATCACGCATAAAAAATCCTACCGAATCTCACGCTAGCCTGAGAGGCAATGGGCATGCTTGAGCCCGCGCGGGTGCTCGCCGCCACGCCCGCATCGGTGGTCGCCGCCGCGGCCCTCACGCCCGTGCGGGAGGTCGCCGCTAGGCCCCACGCACGCGCGAGCGCTCGCCGCCGCGCCCCATGCTGGGAGTTGAGGAGGATGACGCCACCGCGTGGGTGCTCGTAGCCGCGCCGAGGATGACAAGGATGCGGTGGAGCTTGAGGATGAGGACGGCGCCAGCTCGACGCGGAGGACGCCGCGAGATCCGGAATTTTCGTCGACGCCGCGCGAGACGGTCAACGTCGCGAAGGAGCCGGCGCCGCGCGAGACGGGGAAGTAACGCCGCTCGCCCATCCCCCACTCGTCCCACCCCGTCCCACTGATCTGTGGGCATGAGTTTGCCCCAAGATTCTACGGAATATTCTTGCTGGATGTCCTTGACTTCAGAAGTCCCCCAACAAAACACCAGAAAACAGGTCCATCCCATCATCATCTCACCTAATTCCCTCAACCAAACACATCATATGTGTCTCAAACAAACAAGAAACTGGGACAAACATAACCCACACAACCAAACAAAAAACGAGTTCACTCAATTCCAAAAAAATCAGGGATGAATCAAACACACGCTAACTAAACTAACGACTGAGTAAGCCTTCTCCATATATGTGCTGAAGATCAGTACTGATACTATTTAATTCATCAGATGATTGTTTATTTTTCTATAGCATACGACATAATAATTTGATATTTTGTATTATATGGCATTTTGATGATGCGTTTTCTAATGTTAAAAACGATAATATTTTTTTAAAATACTCTCGTTGCATAGCACGGGTAATTTTGCTAGTTAAAAAAAAGAGAAGAGAGGTACCTGCGTTTGGCCGGTCAACGTTGTCGCTGCTGATGGTGAAGGACGGCAGGACACCTGATCTCAAGATCCCGTCCACTCGATCCATGAAGTCGTCGTAGTCTGGGCCAGCATCAGGATTCCCGAGCACCGACTGTATGAGCTTCTTCATGGTTGCTCTCCTCAGCGCAAAGACCTGCTCCGCGTACTTCACCGCTCCGGCCAAGTAGATGAGCACAAAAGGCACGATGAAGCGCCCGAACGAGGGGTCCAGGAAGTAGCGGAAGAACACATATCCGGTGATAACCGCATGTATGGTCAGCTCCAAGGCGCGCCGGTCCCAGAGCTTGTTGTCCTCCAGGGACAGGGCGGTGAAATCATCGACGCCTCCCAGGTGGAACAGGAGGAAGGCCGCCCAGAACGCTTGGATGTCGGCGTCGGGGCTGCCCTTGGAAGCGCGAGAGAGGATGCCGAGGGCGTAAGGGGCTATCCACCTCGATCCGATGTAAAGAACCCAGTAGTACTTCTTGCTCCACGACCTGGGCCGGCTGCGTCTCCGGAGGCCGCCGGTGCACAGGAGGAGGAGATGCAGGGAGATGCTAAACAGCACCGCTGCGGTGAGCTGCCAATCGTTCCAAAGCTGGACTACCTTCTGCCCATACCCTGCCATCTCACTCGCCGCTCTATGCGTGTGTGAGACCTGGACTCCCAACGTGTGAATGAGTTGAGACTTCAGTTCAGAGTTGAGACAGACTCTGAGAGACGGAGACGAAGCTGCTGCAACCAAACGCTTTGCGCAATATACTCGAGCAGGTACGATGTGTACCGGATTATCTTTGATTAAGTAGGCCCTCTGTTTCTTTAAAAGAGTGCCATTCTCATTTATCGAAAAATTAAATATTTTCAACTTAAATAAATTAAATATATAAAAAACTCGATCTACGGTGACTAGACAGCCCTAGCTATTTTAGCTTAAAAAGAAGATCTTCTCGCGTGGATCGAGAAAAACTCTCAAACGCTTGCCCCACCCTTAGAGCAAGTATAATAACAGTCTGTAAAACAGGCTGAATATTGAGGTGGGGAACAGAGAAGAGGAGAGAGAGAAGAAGCAGGCTACAAGCTTATAGCAGGCTTAGACACAAGAACCGAGAAACTCTATGAGAGAGACAAGTGGGCCATGTATTAATGCTGAAAGGCTAACTACTATAAGGACGAGCTGAGAGTTAGGCTATAAGAATCTTTGCAGGTAGCAGCCGGCTATATTATTATTAGTCTTGCTCTTACACCGCGGCACCATAGCTCTATAAGATAAGCTGGCCACGAATCTCTGCTTTAGATGTGAGGCATGCGAAGGAGTTTTTTTCCGTTCGTTAGATGTGGCCAAAACCATGAGCGACTCCCTCAGAGCTCGAACTCTCTCGAGAGAAATATTGATATTTATGATATATAATTAATATCTTTAGATAAATCGTTAAATATATCTTTAAAAGTAAACTTGTGTAGAGATATAAATATTACAGTATTTTCTATAAATTTAGTTAATCTTACAAATCTCATCAATATTTTTATGAGACGGAGGCAGTATAAGACGTGCACGAAATAAAAAAAACTTCTTTATTAGTGAATCATTGAATCTCAATTATTGTCTCTGTTCTACTTGTCCATAGCCACAGGCGAAAGCGTTTCGCAATCTTTTTCGGTTGAAAATATTAATGATACTAGGTCGCATGTCCATGCGTTGCTACGAGACAACAAAACTTTTATAATAAAAATACACAGATTGTACGATAAAGATAACAATATTATGAAATTAAATACCGATGTTAAAATGACATTTAATCCAAAAAGTAAAGTTTGTGAAATTAACAGTCACGTAGAGCGCGGAGTCGCAGGCTCACAAACTCTACTGTATAGACCTTTTAATGCGTTACAATGGAAACAAATGATGCCCTGATAATTTGTGCATGAACATGTCATCGTAACAAGATTAATTTATTCATCAACCATTTAGAACTAACCATCTCTTTAAATTATCAGTTTGCTTCATACAGACTGGTATACTAAGGCCACCCTTCTTCATACTTTAGATCTTGGATCTGCAACATCTTGAGCATGGGGTACAGAACCAGGACAAGAGGCACACCGGCTGCACATCTGAACAGCTATATGAAACTACATGAAACTCAATAAGGCAAACTTTCAGCCTAAAACCAAATTAAGTTGTACGTGCATGGGAATAAAAAGACTAAGGTAATCCAAGTTTGCAGTGTGTAGTGCCTTGACAAAAAAACAATGTTTTGATTTGTTCTTCACAACAGGCTGTTGCACCCAATCATCACCTTGAGTAATAATAATCAAAGCAACGAACTTCAGACTATAATAATCGTGTTCACTGTGCTCTCTATTCTACCACGTTCTCTAGATGATGCATTTAAGATCGTCTTTTACGACCATAGAAATTAAGTCTCCAGGAATTCCTCTCATATCCAACTACAGCAATCTAAATTCACATCATGAAACCAATAGATTTTCACTTCTATTTTCCAAAATGCTGGGAAGTATCCAATCTATACGACCATAGGAATTAAAAATCTCCAAGAACTCCTCTCCTATCCGGCTACAACAATCTAAATTCGCATCAGTGAATAAACCAATAGATTTTCTGACTTTATTTTTTCAGAACTGGGAAATAACCAATCTGAACTTTCATTAGACCCTGCACTACACAAACCCTTAAGGAACATACAGTGTAACCAGCACAAACCCATAGGGAAAAATAATCACGACCAAAACCACAAATATAACTCTGCACAAAGTCTCGCTGTTTATTATCATTCGACTTCCATGTATTTTTTATACAAACAAGATCAAAACCAGTAAATCATTAGACACATATCAGAAACTCAAAAGTAAAAAAGAATCATGCCAATTATCCACCGGTCACAAAATTTACCTGCAAATAGAGTGCCAATATCTGTAGGACTGCAACAAACACCTTGATGGCACGCGACAGCCTTGATGTGCCTATCAGAGGTGTATTAAACTATGATTAATAATAAAAACAAAATGGCAAGCCATGCACGGGTAAGATCTATCGCGTTCATAATATACATGGACTATTTGTGATGGTACAAGAGAGGTAGTGAAAACATCATCACTGTGAAACCCAAGTTTCAAAAGTCAGAAATCTGGGTAATGATGATAGTGACATTTCATATTAGGTAATTGGAGAGATTGTGGAGCAACTGAATAACTAACAGATTTCATAAAGCAGATAAATATGAAGTTTGCGAATTCACATATTAATTGAACTGGATTAGTTTCTGAATGAAATGGATGATTTAAGTAAGTAGGGGATGATTCAGTCTACTAATAAACAACAAAAAGTTCACTGAGATTGCCGTCTATGTGGACTTCCCAAATCTAATGATACTACCTTGTGCAATCTATAGGTTCTTGTCTTGCGAAGCTGTAGATTCAAAGAGTAACCAAGACGTATGAACACATTTATTAGCCAGCGACAGTTATATGCAGATGCAAATAAAATTGCTCCAATTAATTCATAGCATTGGAGGTCTAACAAAGCTCCAAGACTTGCACGAATTTCATGTTGAAGCAGAGGACAGTCACAGAATAGACATGGGGTACATTCAAGGTTCCCTCGTACCTCAGATCTTCTGAATGTTAAAGGTAAAAAGAGTCGGGTCATGTTTCCCTGCTTCATAAGAATTACAGGTCTTCAGGTATTAAGCGCCTGGCAAAAGCTCACTGAGATTTTACTTATATACAAACACTAAAATGATTTGAAAAAAAATAATTCTCATACGAATCCATCATTTGAAACGGCAATGGGGACTGACCCAATAAAGAACATGGTAGACATGTGAAAGAACAAAAAAAATCATATACATTCATTTAAAAAAGTCACTCAAAAAAAATATTATACAAAGTTTCATTCTCTTTGGAGAGGCGGACCTAGAACATGGGTTTACACATGTACTCCTGTTATTAACGCAAAAGCATCTAAGTTGGTAGGCATAATTCTTATGTTAGGGTTCGGGTGCTCGGTGGGCATACCTGTTGGTTGCTCGTCTCCGGCGAATCTGTGGACAGGCGAAGCAGCGTAGTCGCCCAGTCGTGTGCTTGGATGAGTAAAAGCCACGTATCTGGGATGGGCGAGGCAGCGGCACGACATTGCAGCTGGAGAGGGCAGCACGCCTACTCGGTGGGCCTTCTCCTTCTCGGCACAGCCTTGCGGTGTCGGCATGGCTTCGCGACAGGGAGGGAGAACAGGCGCGGTGTGGGCGAAACGGAATGAGGACGACGGCGAGGTCAACGGCATAGGCGCGAACGACGAGGTCGATGGCGCATGCCGGTGCCGGTGCAGGCGCGGAGGATGATGGTGCGGCGGCGTGAGGGTAGGGAGAGAGAGGAGGCGTCGGCGTGGCGAGTGCGGGGATGGAGCAAAGGCGCGAGGGCAGGCGGTGGAGAGGAGGCCGATGCGGGATCTCGCGTGAGGGGGAGGGGAGTGATTGGCGCCGTGTCCACCACGCGTGGGCGGGAGCGAGCGAAGCCGGGCGAGCAATGCCCACGCGGAGATCATACCGCACGGGGGAGGGAGGAGCGCACGATCTACCACCGGGGAAGGAAGGAAGGAGCACGGGTCGGGTGCGTCATTGACGGAGCGTGTCGGGTGCGGAGGAGGGAGGAGCGAGGTTTCTTTTCTTATTTTGATTCAAGTGAGGGACGTAGCGAGGGGGGTGCGGGATCGCAGGAGGCAGGACGATGGACCCATATTAAAATGTCGTACAAAAAGTGTGCACGCTTTGTTCTTTTTAGTTGTAAGTATAGTTATTGTAGTGTTTTCACTTTATGTATTCTGATGGTTTCAAGAGAAGCAGGACCATGTCCGTGGTCTGGAAAAACTAATTAAATGCTCTAAGGGAATCTTCAATTGCTAGCTCATGCAAGAGACTGAATCAAAAAGAAACTCTTTAAGGGCAGCTCCAACAATTGGTATTTAAGCTAGTTCTAAGTATTTTTCTTATATTTTAATAAAAGAGAGAGAAAAGCTATATCTTAATCAAGAGCTAAGCTTTTGCACGTATTTAAAGGTGGTGTGAGAATGTCACGTGGCACTATCATGTTAAAAGCTATATGCTAAAAGTTAGCACTATTGGAGAAGTTGGCTTAGAGCTAGTAACTGGCTCTAACCATTGCGAGTGCTCTAAGGGTAGTCTTCATTGAGTATTAATGATGATTTCTATCTCTATTAAATAACTTGTCACATAAGGAAAATGCTGATGTGGCAGCCTAATTAATGAAGGAAGAGAAAAAGATAAGAAGAAACTGTTTGTCAGGATGGAAACCACTTCTACCCTTGAATCGAGGCAAGAAGAAACCACAATTTCACCATTGGGAAGAAACAAGCGATTTCTGGGGCCGCGATGGGACTGGAAGTGCTCGTCATGGATGTTGCTCCGTGCTCATCCTCGCTCGCCCGTCCGCCGCCGCGCGCACTCATCTGTGCCTCCGTGCTCGCCCGGCTGCGCCGCGTGTAGGCCATCGCGCGCTCGCGTGCTGGCCGCCGACGCACTCGCCCACGCCGCGTGCGCTCGTCTGCACCTCTGTGCTCGCCAGCCTGCACCGCCTGCAGGCCGCCGCGCGCTC